CAATGAAGCACCATCAACGGGATCAAAGCGTTCCTCTCGTGTGAAGAAAATCCTTATCGGGGTTGTCGTTGGCACTGCTTTGCTTTTGCTGCTGTTAGTTGCTTCAGTTTCGCTATATAAATTAAGAGAAAGAAAGAAGAAGCAGAAAAATAATAATCAAACTCCTTCCACAGTGGAGGTTTTGCATGACCAGATAAGTTATGGAGAGATCCGAAATGCGACTGATGGTTTCTCTTCGAGCAATATGATTGGGTCAGGAGGTTTTGGTACTGTGTTTAAAGCCTTTCTCCCTGCAGAGAACAAGGTTGTTGCTGTGAAAGTTCTAAACATGCAGAGACGTGGAGCAATGAAGAGTTTTATGGCAGAATGTGAATCCCTCAAGGACATACGACATCGTAATCTTGTGAAACTATTGACAGCTTGTTCGAGTATTGATTTTCAAGGGAACGAGTTCAGAGCTCTCATCTATGAGTTCATGCCTAATGGAAGCCTTGATATGTGGCTGCACCCAGAGGATGTGGAAGAGAGTCGTAGGCCCTCAAGAACTTTGACACTTCTTGAAAGGCTAAACATTGCCATAGACGTGGCTTCTGTTTTGGACTATCTTCACGTTCATTGTTATGAGCCTATCGCTCATTGTGATATCAAGCCAAGCAACGTCCTTCTAGACGATGATTTGACTTCCCATGTTAGTGACTTTGGTCTCGCTCGTCTCCTCCTCAAGTTCGATCAAGAGTCTTTCTTCAACCAACTAAGCTCAGCTGGTGTTAGAGGAACCATTGGCTACGCTGCACCAGGTAAAACTATCACACATTCTGTACTTTCTTAATGAATAAAATATGTGTGTTTATTTCATTACAATCTTGTTTATGTGAATTATGGTATAGAATATGGAATGGGAGGACAGCCATCAATACATGGTGATGTCTATAGCTTTGGAGTTCTCCTTTTGGAAATGTTCACCAGAAAACGACCAACGGATGCGTTGTTTGGGGGAAACTTTACTCTCCACAACTACATCAAATCCGCGTTGCCAGAACGAGTGTTGGACATTGTAGATGAATCAGTTCTTGGCAATGGTCTCAGAGTTGGTTTCCCTGCTGCTGAATGTTTGACGCTGATTTTTGAGGTGGGGCTTCGGTGTGCTGAAGAATCTCCGACGAACCGATTGGGAGTGAGTGAAGCTACAAAGGAGTTAATCTCGTTGAGAGAGAGATTTTTCAAAGCTACAAGGACAGCCAGACGTTGAAGTGTTTATGGTTACTATGTGCCCTCTAAATTATCGTTTTCATATTTGTGTAATTTGCCCTTTTATGTACTCATATGCTTGCATAATCTTTTTACTGAATGTTTGTTATTTGCTGCATACCAAAGATGAATTTTGTGCTTAAAATCACAATTGAGAATCCTCGATTTTTCTCCAGATTATAAAAAGATTAAGGTCTGTTTCTTGAAAGCCGTAGAACTATATACAAACACTTCAGGCAAAGAAATTAACAAATAACAGAAACAAACTCCATTATACTGAAGCCATGTGCATGTCGACGTCCTCAAAGGCACAGAACTCAGTAACACTAATAATGTAAAGATTATACGTATCCTGTATTCATGTCAACGGGAAAAAAAAAGTGTTATAACAGAGACGCAAACAAGAGGACAAAGAGTTATGTTTTAACGTCAGTCTTTTTTTGTTGTTGTCTGGAAAGAGAATCACAGAGAAGAGAGTTCGACTTCTTGAGTGGAAAGTCGATAAGCTATGATTTTCAGAAAAAATTTGCTGCTCCGATTCGACTTATCAGCCATAGAGTTTTATAAGTTTTTGCATGACTTTTATCGAAAACTCATTCAAATGATTCATCTGCATTAATGTCGTTCATTTTGGTAGAAAACCAATATCAATATCATCTTCTTCATATAGCTTAACCATATTTGAATGCACAAATTTAATATACTCGCCTTACAAGACACGATAGACGATACTAGTGGGATTTTTGAAAAGTCTTGTAGTGCATTAATTAGGGCAGATGCATTGGCGTATGGAGCCAGCGTCCCTCCCCTATTTTTATTAAAAAAAAAAAAAAAACAAAACAAAGAAAGACGTCAGTTAAAACTGGACGGTCTTGTCTCTACTTTCTTCACAATTCACGGGTTCCACTGACACGTGGTGGTCCGCGATTGGTTTTGTTTTTACTTTTTTTTAAAGAAAATCTAAAAACTAAAAATATATATATATATATTGAGGGACGATTTACACCGATGCCCATGCTCTTAGCTTCGTCCCATAATTCACTTTTCTTGCAAATGAGAAACCCTTTGAACACGTAACTTAAAGCAGCGCCAACTTAATGTTTTTAAAGCTCTTCGGACAATATTCTTTTTAGAATTTTTAATGAAACTTTAACATTTTTCGAAAACAAATTATATATTTTTAAGTGAAATGTCTTCATATAACATTATAGCCCTAAACCAAATATTATGAATAATTATAGTACACACTACAAAAATTTCCAAAAAAACAGCACTAATGAATATAATTACAATATTAATATTTTCTTTAATGTTTAGGTGGATTATTTTATATTTAGGTATAGTTTTTAGTCATATGATTTAGTGTTTAAAGTTTTGAATTTAATTTCGAGAATTTAATCATGAAATATGATGCTATTCTTTGAACTTTGTAGAGTGTGTAATAAATTTGAAAACAAAACTCTAATTTTAATCTTCTTTCTTATATCTTATATGAGATTTTTGTTTTAACATCTTATATGAGATTCTTTGTAGTAAATTTAGTTATGAAAAATAATTTTAGTTAAGAAACTTTTTTGTTCGCTTAACCAATTTTATTTAAAAAATTTGTTTCTTTGAAACTTATATGACAAAAAGGAATCTAACGTTAAAAAAGAAAATTAGGGGCGGCTGCACTGTTTGTCCCTTGGCCGACCGTGGTAGCTTGGTCAACTTGTATTAATGGAAATAATTATATAAGTTTGCAAACACTAGACAAGTGGGAGACTTGAGTACTTGACTCAGACGACACGAAGGTTGACTATAAGTTCACGGGATTTTGGAAAAGTCTTGCAGTTTTCTAGTATATCTCTGACAACAATCAAGAGAAGAAATTTTGCATTTGCAATTCCTCTCATATATTCACTTTCCTACAAGAATTGAGAAGCTTTTTTAATCCAAACAAAAAAATGAGAAGCACTGTTTTGTTTCTCTTATTTTCTTTCGGTGCTCTCATGTTACTTGAAGCATATGGTGTTACCGATGAAAATGATAGGAAAGCATTGTTCGACCTCAAATCTCAAGTTTCTCAAGAAAGAAGAGTTGTTTTGTCTTCATGGAATAATTCAACCCCTCTCTGTAATTGGAAAGGAGTTACATGCGGCCTCAAACACAAGAGAGTTACCGGTTTGGACCTCAATGGGTTCCAGCTGGGCGGAATGATATCACCATCTATTGGTAATCTTTCGTTTCTCATATCACTTGATCTCTCTAATAACTCTTTTGGTGGTACCATCCCTCACGAGGTTGGAAACTTGTTTAGACTTGAACATTTGGATATGAGCTCTAATAATCTTGGAGGAGAGATTCCAGTTAATCTATTTAACTGCTCTAGATTGTTGGAACTTCGTTTAATATCAAATCATCTTGAAGGAAGTGTTCCTTCAGAGATAGGGTCATTGACGAAGCTTGTCTTTATAACTCTTGCTTTAAACAACTTGAAAGGGAAGCTCCCTGCCTCTCTAGGAAACTTGACATCAGTTATGCAGGTTAACTTTGCGGCTAACCATATAGAAGGAGAGATTCCGGGTGATATAGCTAGATTGACTAAAATGTTCTTTCTTGTTTTACCAGAGAACCAGTTCTCTGGTGTTTTTCCTCCTGCAATATACAATCTATCCTCGCTTAAGTATTTATACTTGGAAGCTAATTATTTCTCGGGTAGCCTGAGACCTGACTTTGGTAGGCTGCTACCAAACTTACAGTATTTACATCTAGGAAGTAATTACTTCAAAGGAGTCATTCCAGCATCACTTTCAAATATCTCGGCTCTTCAACTGTTGTCATTCAATGACAACAATCTGACAGGAAGTATTCCTCCAAGCTTGGGAAGATTACAGAATTTGCAAATCTTGTCTTTTTCTAATAATCTTTTGGGAAGTCAATCATTTGGAGATTTTGAATTCCTTGGTGGTTTAGGGAACTGCACCCAACTGAAAACTTTAGACGTTAGTGGAAATAGGCTTGGAGGTCACTTGCCTACCTCCATTGCAAATCTGTCCATAAACCTCCAAGATTTAGGACTTGGAGAAAATTTCATAACTGGACGCATTCCTCAGGATATTGGGAAGCTCGTAAGCCTAGAAAAACTTATCTTAGAAAAAAACAATTTCACAGGCCTACTCCCAACCTCTATTGGCAAGCTTATACAATTGGAAATGCTTATTCTCGGTTCAAATAGTATATCAGGAGAGATACCATCTATTCTAGGAAACATTACTCGGTTGGACTTCCTTTTCTTGGAAAACAATAACTTTGAAGGAACCATTCCTCTAAGTCTCAGTAATTGTACTTCCCTACGCTACTTAACGACTGGGCCTAATAACTTGCATGGGACTATACCTGAGGGAATTATGGGAATTCAGTCCCTTATTGAACTAGATATGTCAGGTAGTTCTTTGACCGGCTCTCTACCAGAAGATATTGGAGGGCTTAAACATCTTGTTAGACTATCTGTTGCGCGTAATAAATTATCAGGACAACTTCCACGATCCTTGGGAAATTGTCTCACAATGGAAATACTAACGCTTCAAGGTAACAATTTTGATGGAGCGGTTCCGGATATAAGAGGCTTAAAGAGTCTTAAAAGCGTTGATTTCTCCAACAACAATCTATTTGGAAGTGTACCTGCTTATCTTGCAAACTTTTCTTCATTGGAATATCTCAATCTCTCTGATAACAACTTCGAAGGAAGTGTGCCAACAGAAGGAAAATTTCAGAATGCTTCTATAGTTTCAGTATTTGGAAACAAAAATCTTTGTGGAGGCATCAAGGAGTTCAAACTGAAGCCATGCGTCAATGAAGCACCATCAACGGGATCAAAGCGTTCCTCTCGTGTGAAGAAAATCCTTATCGGGGTTGTCGTTGGCACTGCTTTGCTTTTGCTGCTGTTAGTTGCTTCAGTTTCGCTATATAAATTAAG